CGCCTCGAGGACTCGCGGTTGTCGTAGCCGGTGCGCCGCATCGGCGAAGGGTTCACGTCAGCGCGAACAGCGCGGTCCGCCAATTGTCTTCAATTGAACGAGGTCGATGGAGGAGACACTCGCCTCCTTCCAGTTCCCATTTGCGATTCTAGAAAAAACAGTCGGCTCTGTATTTACTTACTTGTCGGCTATACTTACTTTTTTGTTGGCTGAACGAAGAGCCCGGGTTTCCGCGAACAGCGCGCTTCCTCCGCGCGCGTGCGTGTAACGCGAAAGCAACTCGAAAGAATCCCGGGGCAACAGAATTCACTGGGCTTCCGTGAATTCGATTATTCCCAGCGCGGCCGCCGCCGAGCTTGCGTCCTGTGCACGCGTGCTCGATGGAGGTCGCATTGTCGGCGCGCATTGCCGCCGCATTGTAGGCTCGTCGATGGAAATTCGCGTTCCCACGGATCATCGGTGGCATTCGGTCGTTGTTTCTTCAGGCTCTGCTCGCAGCGAATGTTCCCGTGGGAGCGGAATCTTTTCCGCCTCTGCGTTATTCGATCTCGAACTCGATCCCGAACCGTGGCCAGCGCGGTATCAAGGTCAACGTTGAACGCGCTTAACGGAATCCCCCGCGAGATCTGCTTATATTCGGCTGGAGAAAGCTGGCCAAAAGCGGACTAAAAACCATAATCGCGCGCATGTCCCGTTTCATTCCCGAAACGAGTCCACGGAGTAGCGCGATCGGTGTTGCGCCTTGTCGACCGACGACGCGACGTAGGTAGTACAGTTATGTACGTCTGTCCGTTCTTCGGTGAGCTCGAGAGTCAATTCCGATCGTAAATTCGTTTCGTAACGAAGTAACGCTAGATTCACGATGTCGTCGGCTATTAACCCACGGCCTGTGATTACTGGATCATTCTTGAACCAGGCTAGTTACTTAAATCGATCGCTTAACGCACTGTGTATACGCGGAGAGAGATATTAACAGCTTTTTAGAAAAATTATATTCTTTTTTCAATTTCGTTATATTGGGTTGGCAACTAAGTAATTGCCGATTTGTTCGATGAAATAAAAAATTTCTTTTTACTTGGAACGAAGTTTAATCTGTAATGTATTTTCCATTTTGTTCGACGACCTTTTGCCGTCTCTCCGACAACTTGAAAATTCCACGCTCGTAGAAAGTCCGATCCTTTTCGGCCAAAAACTGAGTTAAGTGAGATTTTACAGCGTCATCGTCGTTAAAAGTTTCACCACGAAGGGAGTTGTCCAGGGATCGAAATAAGTGGTGATCCGATGGCGCGAGATCGGGGCTATGTGCTGGGTGTAACATCGATTCCCAAGCAATATCCATGAATTTTTGCCGAGTGAACAAAGACGTGTGCGGCCTAGCATTGTTCTGCTGGGAAATGACACCTTTACGATCGACCAATTCTGCTCGCTTTTCCTTGACCGCTGCATTCAATTTGTCCAGTTGCTAACGTTCACGGATAATAAAAAATAACATAGTAATAATAATAATAATTTTATAATATAACATTTACGGATATCATAAAAATGGGAGTGAGAGACAGCTATAACCGAAATCGACAATTACTTAGTTGCCAACCCAATATATTAGGTGTACCGGAAAGTTTTGTCCGTTCGTGAAATGAAAGGAAATAATAGATGTTTCATAAATTTAGTAATATTTATCGTACAATATAATTTCCGTCGTTACTTACGACCTCTTGCCAGCGTGATGGCAATTTGTGAGCAACATTTTTCAAAAATATATGTCTCAAATGAATACGTGCATATCTATTGAAATTCCCAATGACATTATCAGACAGAACTTTCCGGTAGACCTAACATTTGAAAGAATCCTTCTGTAAAATTCTACAAATTCTCGTTAGGTTGCGGTTACAGTGTTTAACTTCGTACGAAGTGGCATTCTGACGAATAAGTCGGAACTGTTCGTCGGACGAACGCGACAAATAATGGTTACAGTGATGCGTTTTCGTATGAACTAGCATTCTTACGAATTTCATTTGCTATGTCAACATTCAAGATGGTTTCCTCGATCAGACATTAGTCTTCTGTGGCATTCGATACGGACGATTTTTACATTGACGTCGACGAATTTTACTACTTAGAGAATCCGGTTTTAAACATTTTATTTTTTAAATGATTTGTTAAATGATAAAATCGGGAAAGTGAATAAACTGTTTCTATTATGATCAATATACGGGGAATTTTACACATTATTTGAAGAACTTAAGAAGCTACCGGATAAGTTTTATGAGTACTTCAGAATGTCTCTATCCAGACATTTTATTATTTCTTAAATAGAATTAAAGATGGGATTTTGAGACAATCGAATTTTTTGGCCATGTATTTATTCCTCCTGAAGAAAGATTCGCGATCGCATTAAGGAGAAATGTGTTTTCATTTTCATAATATTCGAATTAATACCAATAATTATCGCGATAACTAACTCAATACTAGTAACTAAAAATTATATAAAATCGGCAGAACTAGTGTGTACTCTGTTCTTGTATTTCCTCATTATAAAATATCTGTTGTAATTTCATTCTTACTATTAATTTTCTCTCTGCTGGTACTTTTCGAAGGAAAGGAACCAAACTTATAATCTGGATTATATTTATTAATTTCCTGTGGACTGTCCTTTTTGTTGTCCTGCTTTTTTCATTCTTCTAATTGAATTAAATTCTCTAAAATTGCTGAATTTTTATTTTTCTTCCGTTTGCGAAAGAATAAAAATACCTTCTTCACTCGAATCTTCGGATAACGAACAACAGTCCTTTCTTTTTTAATCTTTTATTCGTTATTCGAAATTTTTATTTAGACAAACTCTTTTGCCGAACTCTGGTATCGGTCGTCGGCGATTGACACGGCGTCTGACGCGCTCATTTCCAACATTTGGTAGTTTCTCTCCGTACTTTGCGTTCGTTCGAGATACGCGCGTCTTATGTTCGATGACCGACGAACGAACGGTGGATCATGGTTGCGGGGTTATTGGCACATTGGCGGTCGTTCGTCCGAAAGGATGAACTCCGCGATCGAGATCTTTGTCCTCGATCGGCCATTTGCCGGGTGCTGCTATCGTTTCATGAAAGTTCCAGTTGGCAACGGAAAGACTGCGCGACGTTACGGGGATTCAATGAGTTTGTCGCGCGGCAGGATTCCGGGTCGAGCATTAATTTCGCGGCAACTCGCGTTTGTCGGCGATAACGACGCCGACGGAGGGAAAGAAAAATATGAATAAAAGTTCACTAGCTGCCGATCGACGGCGCGAATACCAACGACATGTAAATCGCCGGTGCGAAGGAAGAAAGAAAGAAAAAAAGCGACAGGATAAATGGCTTCGGGGCTGCGACTCGGCGGGCTTATTAGCGTCGTCTATCACGCTCGGGATCTCGAGAACGAAAACGAGCTCGGCGAGCGTGGAACGGCGTTGTCGGTTTCCTTGCGAAATCCGTTTGAACAACGAGGATCAACGCGTGCAGCCAGCCTGTGCCAGCCTCTACGCTGTACAGGGATTTTTGAAACCGGCGATTTCACCGCGAGCTTTTGCAATCGCGACGCGAGCCGGCGAAGATTCTTTCGTCGAAATCGCGATCGATGCCGAAATCGGTGTGGAAATTCGGGCATATTTTCCGCTCAATAGGAGGGGCGCCTAGACCGCGACGATCGCGAGAAGGGAACCGAACGATTATTATCTCGTTCGCTCGGAAACTAAAATCGGCGTCGGTACAATTCGCATGCCTGCACGCCGTGCCGCGCCGGATATTCTCGACACTTGAAATCATGCGACCAAGTGTCACGCTGTTCTGTGTAATTAGACGAATTCTCGGACCCGCGGATGAATCACCGCGAATATCCGAGCGTCAAAGAACTCGTCGTACGGAACGGAAAAAGGCGAGAACAAAAACACATTGAATATTCAGCTCGGCCCCCGGTAGATCGCGTTGAATAATCAAAAGGTGCTCGGCAAAGAACGGCAATCGCGGCACCCGATATATCTTCTGCTAATACCGCCGTTTCAATGTTTCTTGCCGTTTTTTCGAACTTTGTCGGACGCACGCGGCTCGGTCGTCGTCGGCCAATTTAACCCTTAACTGCCGCGTCTGTTAAAACTTACGTAATCGCTATTAGCGGTCTCGCGGACCGCTGGGCAAGTAAAAAATACGAATCGGTTATTTTTACTTTGCACATTAGCAACGAAGGGGTTCAACTCGGACAGTTCGATCGAATAGAAGCAACTCTATTGAGAACAGTCTCTTTTCTCCTCCACAATTTTGTTGACAATTATATTGGCGGGGTGGTCTTACGGACCGGTTAAGGGTTGAAGGAAATTTCACGGAGAAGCTGCATGGAATCGAATCGAACGTGTCGCACGATTTTTCAATGATCTAGGCCAGGGGTGTCAAACTAAAACAATATATTACCTTAACGATTATTCTTCGAATAATTAATTTTGATAAGCAGGAGTGTCGAACTCGCGGCCCGAGATGAACATTTTTGCGGCCCAGTCGATATATCCGACGCGAAGTAAAAATAAGACAGAAATGTGAATTAGAAATGTTGAAAGTAATCTCTCGGCCAATAAATATATATATATATATATAAACATATATCTCTGATACTATGTTCCCTATTTCGGGAGAATTATATATATGTTTATTACAATGTACCAGTTAAAATAAAAATATTTGTTTCTATGAGCATTGATTTTTTTTTCTTGCGGCCCACCCAAAGTTAAGCATCGTTTATTTGGCCCAAGTTAGCTTTTGAGTTTGACACTCCTGATCTAGGCTATCCTATTGGAAATAAATTGTTGAACAAATTGGCGAATGAATCGTCGGATGAATCGTCGAATAAATTGTCGGGGTCCTCTCGTCGCGAGACTTCTCGGGCGCGAGCATAAGCACGACGTTGTCGCGGCGCGATCGTCGGCTATTTATAAACCAGACTGGATCGATTAAAAAGAAAAGTACAATTGGTTTGCGCAGGAACATGATCGTACTTCGTATTCACGGCGACGAATTGATGTTCGGCGGCAGCGGAACTGTAATGACACATTCGCCACGTATACCTCAGATGGAGATGATGAAGGTCCACATTCCATTCACCTTTAAGCTTCACGAAAGTTTCAAGAGCACTTACGCCGGTGAGTTCAGACAACCAGCCCTCTTCTTCTCGCTTTTCTATTCCTTCCTCCTCTTCTTACGCTTCGATTTTCCTTTGTTTCTCTCTCGCTCTCTTTTTCTTTTTCCTCCGAAAATCGCGAGCGACGGAATTTCTTTCGCCGATTCCTTTTCGAAATCGAAGACTCGTCGATGTTTGCGCCGCGAAGAGCGGCTCGCGACAATTTAACGCGACGGTAATTTCGACGGCCTCTTCTTTCAGCGAAAAATCGCCGTTGCCGCGAGGCGATTCGCCCGGGCGATCTTCGATCCAAAACAAAGCAACGCTGTAATTCGAATCGTTCGGCGAGTTCTTTTTCTCTCGATCGAAGCATTCGAGCCTGCTTTATAAATAAAACATGCTCGATTTGAACGCGAACGCGACTCGAAGATCCCTGCGATCTTGAATTATTAATGCGTGACGAAAAAAAGAAGAAAAGATAGCGTCCTCTGCCGACATTCCTCCGCGCGAAGCGATGCGTCGGTGGTTCATCGCCCCTCGTCTTTTCGTTATAGTTTCTACGAGCAAAGGAACAAAATCGAACCGTGTCGTAAACAGCGAGTAAACTCGTTCTTGTTTGGCTTCGGCTCGGAGATGCTATCTCCGGCTGTTTACTCGCGCTTTTCGTTCAATCCTTTGCACTCGAGTGGTCACTCTGAGGCACCACTGAAATCTGTTACATCACGTTCTAAGATAATTATTACGTTAACAAAGTTAACAATATTAACAATATTATTGTTTTTTTATAATATATTGTTTAAATTCCTCTTCGATATCGTCTATTCTCTAATAATTCATTATAATTAAAATGACACGATCGTAAACAGAAAGAAAAGGCAGGGAAACGAGCAAATGTCGTAATTATTCTTTTCTCGATACAAGTTTGAATAAATTCATATGGTTTTTAAGCATTTAAGTATGCGGCGGTCGTGAAACGTTCGCGGAGCGAGACTCGTAATTTCCATTCAAGCGATTAAAGGCGTAATGCAACGATGGACGTTTCCGGTGATTTATCGATCAACGATTATTCAATGATCGCGCGTTCGTGTTCGTTACAGCTGCTCCCCGAGAGAGTACACAGGGTTCTCGGTTTCGTAAGTCCCGGTGGAGCAGGTTAATTAACTTAAAGGAGCAGAGCCCGTACACTGCCCGACCGGACCGAAAGTAGGTTACAGACACGCGGCTAAAGGAAAAAAAAGATGACGCCCCCCCGTAGCCGCCCCCTCTCGCCTTGTCTTGCTTTGCCTTGCCTTACCTTGCCTTGCTTTGCCTTGCCTTGCCTTGCCTTGCCTTGCCTTGCCTTGCTTTGCCTTACCTTGCCTTGCCTTGCCTTGCCTTGCTCCCTCCCCGCCTTTCTCCGAGCCTCTCGATTGGTATGCAGGTGTGAAGCCACCTGTAGTTACGAAACGCGTTACCTTGACCGCTTGGCCAGGTCATCGTGAGTCATTTAACCCGGGGAGACGACGATCGACGTCGGCCGCTGTATAGCCTGTCTCTCGGCTTGCTCTCTTTTCTTCAAATTTCGCCGAAACGTTCGGCTTTTATCTTTGCACCCTGCGGCCTTAAATATGGTCACGTGACGGAAGCTGCGGCCCACGGGATAACCGCTAATTGAATGGATTGGAAACGTAGTGGCGCAAGATTTTCCACACCCTGAGAAACAAGGAACTTTATTGTTCACTAACACGTGCATTCTTTTACCAGCCGAATTTATATTGTTAACGATTAGCCAATCGAATGGGTGTAGCTCCCGCTGTTTTAAATTAACGCATTTTGAGCGGATCGAGTTTCACTCGCATGCTTGGCGGAGGAAAATCGTGGAAGTTTGAGAAGATCCATTTTTTTAAAGAACATTCAATATTTTCGGGGCTAACGATAAGATTACATCGATAACAATTGAAAAAATTAAATGTTCGAGAAGATATTAACCCTTAGCACTCCGAACCATTCTGGACGTTGGCTACTCAGCGCCACTTTTCGGCAGAAACCGGCATTTACAGACCCTCGTATTATTTGGTATGCTTTTGGAACTAACTAACATATTATAATGATATTGGACTTGTATGAGTTTGGCTGAAATCGAGAAATTTGCAAAAAAATCAATATTTTATTTTTTATAATTTTGTCTCGTTGTTGTAATCGCTGTCTATGCCAACTCTTTCTCTCGTCGCCTCGTTGCTTGGACGATATCGCTATCGCTGCTATCGAAACGATAGACTAACTGTAGAAGAAAACCTTCTACAGTTAGTCTTTCTAACGTATCTGTATAAACGTCTATCCGGTGCTCATCTTCGCTACTACTCGTGTCATCAGACTCATTCGTGTTCGAACGTTTTGCCATTGTTCTAATAAAAGATACGAATAAATACATAGGTTGAAAATTTCTAATCGTTATTACTAACTCGCAAGATGATATTTACCAAAAAAACTTT